AGCTTACCATGTCCAGGAAGGATGTGGTTGACGGCGGGGAAGTTTTTATCTTCGTTGGTGACGACGAATAAACAGTCGGGAACCTCGCGTAAGACGCAGGTGGCGTAGGCGGTGCGGTAGTAAGACGACTCAGCGTCGAAGCCGCAGACGACGGCCTTGATGTCGGGGTCGATCTCGGTTTTGAATTGGGACTGTGGAATGGTGTTGTTGACAAGACTGACGACCTTGCAGCCTGGAACTTGAGAGATGGTCCGTGCCAGTCCCGAGGAGCCTAGGACCAGGACCTTGCCTTTCACGGCCCGTTGCGCAATCAGTTCCCCTGCGGCCCAGGCGGTGCACATGATTTGGTCGACTTCGAAATCTCCGAAGCCCATCTTGCGCAACTTCGTTACGAACTGACTTCGAGTGAGACTGCTATTGTTCGTACAGAAGAATATCTTCTTGCCACGCGCTATCAAGTACTGCACAGCCTCAGGCGCGCCCTCGATGACGGCCCCACCACGCCATAGCACGCCATCCATGTCGAAGACAAAGGCGTCATTGTCCTTTAACACTCGCGCCACCACCTCCCCCGTCGGACGCTCCCGGCCGTCCATAACACCAGTCGAACACTCCCCACGCGCCACCGGCTCCGCAGGCTCCGTAGGCTCCACCTGCCCAGACGTCATCTTTTTTCCTGAGAAGCTAGCCACGAATAATGGGTAAATGCCACGGGGAGAAATCGACAGACTCTCCCCTAGCGGGCGTGAGCGGCATCGAGAGCTCTTCCTCTGGGTGTCATTTTTTTGCAAGTTCTTCCCCCCGGTAGCAGCCGAACACCGACCTCCTCGGGAACGAAGCCGTGCTGGATTTGTTTGGTCCTCGCTTTCCTTGCCAAAACTCGCGGTCAAGCCAGAATCTCTCAGCGAACGAGTGCCCAACCCCGCTATCCCACGCGTTGGGTCGGCTGCCTCACGATCGACTGCTTGACGATCGACTGCTTGGCGATCGACTGCTTGACGATCGACTGCCGGGTCGCGTCGTGTAATGGACGGCGTCGCTCGGCACTCACTGGCCGGCACTTCGTTGGAAGCCGGATTGGTGATATGGTGGGCGTGCACACTCTGGCCGACTGTGGCGGTGTGACACACCCCGCCCTGGGGCAAGGCCCGCTCGGCGGCAACCCGCGTCGTTGCAAAAGGGTCAGTACCCGCAAAAGGGTCCGTTCGAAAGTTGGGGTCCGGAAACCGCAGAGGCAGGCCTCTCATCGGCGGCTGTGAACCGGCGCTGGGATTCGAACCGGCGCTGGGTTGCGAACCGGCGCTGGGGTCTGATCCGGCGCAGGGATTCGATCCGGCGCAGGGATTCGATCCGGCGTTGGGATTCGAACCGGCGCTGTGTTGAGAACCGGCGCTGAGCTTAGAACCGGCGTCGAGTTGCTTTCCTCCGCAGTTCTCCGAGCCACGACAAAAGCTATCGTCGGAGAGGGCAGTTGGACCGTGTTGGTCCCGTCGACCATGGGTATCAGATCGGTCTGGGAGAGCGGGCGGATCGCTCGAACCGTATATTGAGAGGCGCATCCTCGTTCGAGCGTCGCCTTTCTCAATGACGACTTGCTCGGTTTTGATCAGAGAGTGCGGGTGGTCGACGTTCCCGGAGTCGGTATCGACGTTCATGTGGCAGGAGCCCAAGTCGCGAGGGACAGCGCTGGGCATTTCCATGTCCTGCTGAGCAGACGCTCGACTTGCGGTCCAGGGGGCCCCTGCTTCCATAGTGGACGAGGTCCGGGGGGCCGCGGAGCAGCTGTGGTACGCAGTGTGGTCGCTGCCGGGCCCCCGGCTGCCAGGCCGAGGGCCGGGGACTGCACCTGAGACGGGGAGGGGGGCTCCGCAAGAGGCGGGAACTCCGGCGGTGGCGAAAGAGTGGCCGGCGCAGGTTCCGTGTGGGGCGTGGGAGCGGTGATACTTTGCGCAGTAGTGGTCCCTGGAGCCTGTGGCGAGGGACTTGTCGCTGCTGCAGGGCGCCCGGCTGCCAGGGGCCCGGCCGGTAGAGTAGCTGGCGCTCGGATTGCTGAGCAGTCCGGGGTCAAAGTCATTCCCGTCCAGGAGGGCCCGACAGTACTCTGTGTCCAGTGGCTTGGTCGGACCCTCCGTCTCCACACGCGACATTGCCGGCGGCGACCCGACCCGCGGCACACTCGACCGCGGCGGACTGCTACTCCGGTTCCGCGGCCGCGTCTCTGCCATCGACGGGGGGCAGTACTCCTGCGACCGACTTCGCCCGTGTCCAGTGCAGTCCTCCTCTCGCGGAACCCGACCCAAGTGGTTATGAGGCGGGCCACCAAGACCACCGGTCGCGTTAACACAGGCCGGGATAGGACAGGACGGGGTGGGACAGGTCATGGTAGGACAGGTCATGGTGGGAGCAGTGACACTCTGTAAAGAAACGTAAGGACCTTGCAGGTACGCACCTTGCAGGTACGGACTCTGGTGGTAGGTCCCTTGGCGGTAGGAACCTTGGGGGCAGGAACCTTGGGGGTAGGGTCCTTGAGGGTAGGTCCCTTGGACGTAGGAACCTTTGAGGTGACTCGCGCGGACGTTGCAAGCCTCGTGTGCCGAGGAGTGTGCCGCAGTCGCGGTCGTGTGTGGCAGCCGCGCATCCAGTCTGGTTGGCACGTGGCGGTCGAAGCGGGATAGAGGCGGTGAGGAGAAGGGACACGTGGAGGTGGGTGCAGGAGAGGAGGTGTTGGCTTGGCTCTGCGGTAAGGGCCCTGAGGAAGAGGTGTAACGGCCGGGTCTTTGGGAGCAACCGTCAGCGGCACTGAAAGCGACGTTGAGGGACGCGTCGTACGCCGGCCCGCCGTCAGGCATGTTGCCGAGGGTGATAGACCCGGTTTTCTGTCGGTCATCTCTCAACGGACCTGTTGAAACGGGACGGTCGGAAACTGGACGGTCCGAAAATAGACGGTCGGACGCCGAGCGGTCGGAAGCCGAGCGTCCTGATGAGGGAGCCAAAGACCGGTAGGGGTTTTGAGCAGGGGCCGGGCCCGGCTGTGCGTGGGAACGTGCACAGTCGATTGAGTGTTGGTCGTATCCTGTCGGGATGTCGTCTCTCCCCAACGCTGCGGTTGCTCCAGTTGATCCGACTGGAGCGTTGTTTGGCAAAGTGGAGTGGCTTGTCTTGGACGCGATTGAGTGTAGCGATCGATTCCCAGTAGGCAACTGGTTGTAGTTAGAGACCTGGTTGGGGTCGGAGACCTTGTCCGATGACTTGAAGTCGGACCTGAAGTCGGACTGCGAGGTGCTCTTTTGATTATCCATGTCAGAGTAGTCCGAGTAGCCGGGACGACGTCGATCGCCAGTGACTCGTTGCGTCTGGTCAGTGGGAACGTTACTGAGCTGTGTAGGTACGTTGCTCAGACGCTGATCCGCCTCAGTCGAGCGGGTCTTGGTGAAGACAGGGGGTTTTGGACGGTCGCCATCTTCGTCACTTGAACCAGCAACCCCAGGACGCAGTTGGTATCCGTCGTTGTTAGCGGAAGAACGAACATCTTCAGGACGATACCCAGAGAGCTGGTCCGACAATGACGCCTGATGATTTGACGAACGCTGGTCGGAAGAACGCTGGTCCGAGAGATGGTTGTCTGAGAGATGATTGTCCGAAGAAACGGGATGCTGGTCGGAAGAGGGATAAGGATCTCGATTATTCGGGTGCAGTTGCAGGGGGGACCGAGTATACTTTGTTGAAGGATATTCCATGCAGTGAGAACTATGATCGGTAGCGCGTAAAGGTTCAGTTGCAATGCGTTCAGTAGGTATACGACCAGTAGGTATACGTTCAGTAGGTATATGTTCAGTGGAGCCAGAGGAGTTTGGACGTACAGGACACACAGTGGGACCATCGATCTTGTTCCGTTTGTCCAAGCTGTTTTGTATTATGTAAGAATCCGGCTTTAACTGCCGAGACCGAAGCGGCAAGGTTAATTTGATACCATTACTCGATTGGGATTTTTGATCTTCGAAGCACAAACGAGATGCATCTCCTTCCTGCCTGAAGTCTATGGAACTACTATTGGGTATCTCGGGCGGCCCAGGAGCCGGATAAAGAGCATGCTCAGGGATCGGAGTATGTTCAGTCATGGGAGAAGGTCCTGCCAAATAACTAGCAGGGCAATTGGGAGGTGTTTTGATAAAGTAGAACCCGGCATTTATTCCGAGATCGCCAGAAGGATTGCTGGAGGGACCAGGAGAGGGACCAGTGAAAGGATTGCGCGAGGGATTGCTGGAGGGGCCGATGCCAGAGGGACCGATGCCCTCAGAGGGGATGTTGCTGGGGGGGGCAAATTTATAGTTGGGGTTTCTGTCCGTCTGGTTCACTCCAATCCTAGAATCTCTGTAGTAAGCACCGCTGTCATTGCTACTTTCTAAGCGATTGGTTTCCGGGCGTTTTGTATCCGGTTGGTGTAAAGAATAATCCAAACGATTGAATTCGGGGTCATGAAATGGACTAGAGTTGGGTTGAAGATCATACGTGTTTGGGTGACGAAGGGGTCGAACCGGGGGGTTCGGGATCTCGCAAGTATTGGGAACTTCTCTACAAAGCCTATTGTCATCCGTATCCAATGAAAATAGTTGCTTTTCATGATGTCCCAGCTTATGGAAACGGCGTCCTTCCGCAAGCGACTCCTCCACTTCAGGCAAGCGGGCGTCACTCGGGGTCGTCCCCTGTTGTTCTCGGCGCAAATGCCACCAATCGCTTTCCGATGTGTCTCGTCGATGAAGAAGCCTTTTAGGAGAACCTTCCTCATCCTCTAAAGATGGTTGGTTTCCATGCACTTGAGTGGCCTTCCACATAAGCCACTCCCTGTGTGAAACATCCGAATCGTTGACGCGATCCACCATCTTAAACGACGGTGGTGATAATTGCTGCGATATCATGCCACACGCTGAAACACCGCCCTGGAACGAGAACATCTTAGAGCTCTCCTACCAGCTCAGTTTAACTACAGCTTGGCTGCAAGCCCAGTCAATTCAGGCCAAATTCCCCTACCGGCCTAACTTCCGATTCAATTTTCCGCTCTTGATGTGCTACCGGCATCTTACGCGTGGCGAATGAGGCAACTGTGCCGTAGCAGGCCTCATGATCGGCACTCAAGGTGTATTTGACAATTGTGGCTGCGAGAAAACTGTTTGCACACACGTGTGCAAACAGCGCATTCATATATATATATATATAAAAGATACCAATGTTAGAATACAAAAAACCACCTAACTCACATAATGTTATTGTTGAGGACGTTGATTTAGCCCCATTTTCTCTATCTGCTCAATCGCATCCTAAAGACAGAAAATATCATGATGATGCCTCTGGTTCTTACCTGAAGCAAGAATCGCACTCGCTGTTCAATGTTATCGTCACAGGCAGCTTCTTTACATCGTTCCAAATATTGGAAGAAGGCCGGTGCTCTTTTAGTTTCCGCTATTGCGGGGGCACAAGAGGGAAGGAACGACGCCAATGCTTCCAGTTGAAGAGACTTCCTTGTATCCAGCGTCTGATTCAATATGAGCAATAAAATTTTGGGCTGAACCAATTGCGATTGAGCCAAGCATGCGACGAACATGAGATTTCCCTTCATTTTCTTCTTGTGATTCAACAACAGCTCGAAAGCTTCTTCCTCTAAACCAACACGAGATCAAACCAACACAAGACTCCCATTTCGAACTATTGACTGTTTGCGCCCCTGGTATTGTGCGGGAAACATGGAATGTAGTGGATGCAGTTAGCTTACCATCCGCGGTTTCAGGAGCTACAAAATCTGTACCCAGATACAGCTGAAATGTATTCTGGCATGTTTGAATAAGAAGCCGTTTGAAGTCCGGGCCATCTTTGTTCGCCGAGCAAAATACCCCCCGTTGCTGTAGCTCTAGTTCCAGACTTCCACACAGATCGGCGTACATCTACAAGAAGAGTATGTATGTGTATACCACCATGGTGTGTGTGTATACCACCATGGTGTGTGTGTATACCACCATGGTGTGTGTGTATACCACCATGGTGATTGTGTGTAAAGATCACAACCTGCGTGATGACAGCCACAGCTTACATCTATGTAGTTGTGATTGGTGATGGCCTTCTCGAAGATGATATTGACAAAGGCTTCGGCTTCGGAGACATTGTCGATACCGATGTCAAGAATGGCTTTGAATATGGAGTCGTATGTCTTAGGTGTCATTTTGTTAAGTTGTGCACGGAGACGTCTGATGACCTTTACGCCGCGGTCACCTGCGTCCTTTGCCTTCTGTTGTTGGACTTGCCAGGAGTCTTCAGGCACTTCGGGGAGAGAAGCGCGGCTAGTGGCGTGGGCGAGACTCTTTTGTGCTGAAGAAGTCCGCATAAGTTCCTCCTTCTTCCGGCGGCTCCAGTCATCTTGGCCACCAGTACTACTTGGTACCTTGCGTGCAATAGCCGCCGGTACCTGGAACTTGCCACTCTCAGTATTCCTTGAACTGCGGTACTCCAACAACGTATTCAATGACCGGTCTCCACTGGCTCCCGTTGATGCCAATATCCACTCCATTCCCGGTTTCACCTTCAACGTCTGGCACTCAGGCAGACCTCTTAATTCCAACATGCTCTCCACCCCATATGAATACCGAGCCGGCTCTGTCGCCGCCGCCACAGCCGCTAATTTACCAGCACGACGGACACCCTCACCCCGACCCTCGACACCACGAACCTCAGTCCGAACCTCCGCCCGAGATTCTGCCCGAGACTCCGTCCGCGATTCCGTTCGCTTCATCCCGTCCCGGGCCGCCGCATTCCACCGACCCGCCGTCGGGGTGGACGGCTCCTTGGCAGGAATCTCCTTGGCCGCGTCCCGGACCGTGGATGCGTCCTCCTTCGCCGCCGCCACCACCACCCGTTCGTCCAAATCCTCAGAAGCAGGCTGGGTCTTCTCGCTAGACCCAACCGACTTATCCGCCACCGACTTGTCCGCCGACAACTTGTCTGCTGACAACTTGTCTGCTGCACCAGACTTGCCCGCTGCAGTCGTCTTGTCTGCAGCAGCGGCCTTGTCCGCTGTGGCCTTTTCCGCTGCTGCCTTGTCCACAGTCGCCTTATCAGCAGCCGCCTTGTCCGCAGCTGCCTTGTCCGCAGCTGCCTTGTCCGCAGCTGCCTTCTTTTTTCCCTGCTCGGCCTTGGCGGTCGCCAGCTTCGCAGCGGCCAGCTTGTCATCCAACTTGGCCAGCGTGACCGGTGGCCGAATAATCTCAGCCATGGTCTGTCGGGTGGAACCCACTGACGAGGCCGCAGCAGCCTCCGATTCGAGGCCAGTCATCTCAGCCTTGTCCTCTGCCTTCTTCTCAGCTGGCCGTCTGTCGTTCGACCTCCTCTCGTTCGACTTTCTGTCCACAGACCTCTTGTCCATAGACCTCTTGTCATTAGACCGTTTCTCCGTCGACTTCTTCTCGTTCTTATCGGACACGGTCTTATCGGACACGGTCTTATCGGACAAAGTCTTATCGGACAAGGTCTTATCGGACAAGGTCTTATCGGACAAGGTCTTATCGGACAAGGTCTTATCCGCCACGTGCTTGTCAGCACCATGCTTGTCAGTACTATGCTTGTCAGTACTATGCTTGTCAGTACTATGCTTGTCAGCTCCCTTCTTGTCGACTACCGACTTGCTCTTTAATGTGGCTCCCAGGCCACTGGTCGGCGTTGCCGCAGTGCCTCCATGCTTCGCTCGTTGAGCCCAGCTGAACGACCGGGACAATTCAGCCGGCTCGGCCGAAATCGGACTCGGCACAGCACGCTGTGCTCGGGGCACAAAGGACGGCGCACTCGCGTCGAACTGAAACGGCGTGGTAGACTTGTTCTCCTCTGACGCCGGGTTCGTCATTTTGCAACTGATTTCCCCCTATTAAAAAAAAGTTCAGCCCTCAGTCAAATCCTCCGGGTCCTCCACGCCTCAAAAAGTGCCCCACCGGCAAAGCGTTGAGTGACACACAACCGGTAGCACTGCTGATGGGGAGTATTAGACTGATGTGCCAAGGCATTGATGTAGTCTGGATGCCGAAATGTCAGAGTCGCTTTTGGGTACCCATTTGCGCGTATTCACCTGCAATTCGGACGGCGAGGGCAGGCCTTGCTCGAGTAAGTCCGTCTCGGGCTTGTTGTCGTAGGGACGGCAGTACAGCTGGGTGAAAGTGTAGCGTCCAAAGCCAGCCCAGGCTATTAGCTTCGAGTATCTCGGGTGACTTGCGACGTTGACAACATTGCGCCAAGACACATTGACCCGCACACGGTCGCGCCTCCAGGACATTCAGACATAGCTCCTCCACCAACGTGTGAACACGCTCCGCATCCGTCACTGGCATGTGTCCCAACAACGTCACAAAGAACGCGGACACCGCTCCCTCCGGACACTCTTCGCCTGCGCTCGTGTCCGTTGCCACGATACATACTTCTTCAAAAACTTCTTCGTCCAACAACGCCTGGCGGAACACGTTACCCAAGATGCTCATGCCCGCCCCGCGCTGTCCGCTCGTCGGTCCATCCGCCAATCCGCTCGTCGACCCGTCTTGTCCATTTTCGGTCTTGTATTCAGTAGTTTGGTCACCAGTCTGGTCAGCGACGGGGGTTCTTTTATTCCGTGAGTCATAGTCGGTGTTGTGCAGGACGGCGGCCATAACTTGTCGTCTCAATGTAACTTCCGGCGTGAGAAGGGGGAAGACGCAGCACATCAAGCCAGACAGCGTTTTAGGGTCCAGAAATGGGGCCATGTGGCAAACCTGTGATTGTAGCTGGATGCGTTCTGCCTTCTCTTCCGGGGTCAAGTTGGTCAATTGGAGACAGAGGTGGATCGCCTTGTAGAATAGTCCATCAAAACTCAACTCCGTGGTCTGCGGAACCGTGGTTTCCAGACTCTGGTTGAGGATGGCGTCCGGATTGACTTTAGCCACTATAGGTCGCCAAAACCAGATGTAGCAGTGCTCCAAACATGCGCGGGCAACAAGGATCAGTGTGTCTATACTCACCAACCCTCCGTGGGCCAACTCATGCCGCGTGTCCAGAATCTCTTCCGGCAGCTCGTTCTCCGCACACAGCACACGCATTGTCCTTCCGCCCGAAACGTAACCACGACTGTACACGTCCACGTACCGCACAATACCCATCGCCAACGTGCAACGCACTTGGTCCAAAGCCATATTCCTACTCATATATAATCCTGACACCAGGAGCCGGGTCACCTCAACCGTAGCGGCAACCCGAGAAGGACCTTCATACTCCCGAGACTAATAATGCAGCAGACTGGGTCCACGTGTGCGTACAGAGTGGTACGGCGTAACGGGAGTGTGACATATCGTGGTGCTGTGGCAATAGGTGGGTGGGAATTACCCTGGTTAAAAACGAGGTGATTGTCTCTCCTGCATTCGCCTTGAGATGCATGATGGCTGAGAGCGACAAGGCCGCCGCTTCCAGCGTCCTGTGATGCCATGGCCCGACAATAAACATGTTCGAAACCTTGCGGAGGAATTGTCGAACGAAAAAGGACAGAGAAGAATTCTACAATGGCCTAAACTCGTTAGTCAAAGGACTATTGTCGCAACGAACTATTCTACGGTACCCGCATGACGGGGAACAAATCCAGACCGTGCTGGCGGAGTAAGTAAGCATGCCCCTGCGTAGACCCCCTATAGCCACAGCGTAGACCGGTTGAATTAGGCTAAAGCGGCACAAGATGCAAGAAGCCCTAGGCAGTCTACTTCTCCTGGCGGAGTTTGTCTTAGAGTCAACTCAACCTTTCAATTATGACTTAATAACTGTGAGCATCATCCCCCCC